GAAAGTTAAAAAAGCGGCATCTAGCTGTGCAAATCTATCCATGTGTGAAGAAGGATAGACCAAGCAGCATGTCAGACTTCATAAACCCTGATGATCATTTACTTTTAACGTTTGTGCTCATCTTCAATAAAACAGCTCCGGATATCAGCCGCTGATGGGAAAAAGAGTGCTTTTCATTTCCTTTACATGCACAAAACAAGTAAACAAACTAATCACGAGTCTAAATGATGAAATATACTATGCGTGTGTGTGCTTGTATAACTGCAAACTCACAAACGCAGTGGAGGATCTGTCACGAGCGCATTGTGCCGTAACGTACGCATTCTCACGCAGGAGCCGTCAGGGGTCACAAGTGATGATCCCTTTTCATACCGGCAGAAAACGAGTCATTAATCTACTGAACTGAACTCACATCAGCCTCAAAACAGAGCTCGTATCGATTCGAGCTCTCGCCAGCGCCATCTGAGGAATTATTCAAATGCTTCTTCACCGTCTGGCCGAAGAAACAGCTTGTGCTGTTTTTAACATCTCTAAACCTGAGGACGAAACAGTGGGAAAATACAGACGGCGGAAAATATCCTGTATAAAAGAGATCGAAAAGAGAGAAAGAGTGTGAGAGTAAAAACCCAGCTTGGAAATGAGATAGGATTAATTTAATGTTTAACATGATTCATTCATGTTAAACAGAGCTAGTGCACAGCATCCTTAGTGGTAAAGCACCATCAAATAATCAGTGAATGTGAAGAAGTTTGTGAATGGCATAAATTCCAATTGAACAGAAATCCACTGAATCACTGCTGTTTGTCTTGGAAGAAATTGCCCTTGGCGAGCAGCGTGAATTCTTCGCATCTCTTGTGATGCTTTGACAGCAGATAGATGCGTGTGGCATTCTGTACAGCTTGTGTTTTGATAGTAAAAATAAAGCGATACAACCATGAGCAAAACGGTGAATCAATCAAACAACACTTTCCAACAAATTAAAGAAACAGTTCACCCAAAAATGAATATTTGCTGAAAATGTACTCACTCTCAGTCTAGCTGAGAAGTAGATGAGTTTGTTTCTTCATCGGAACAGATTTGGAGGAATTTACATTACATCACTTGCTCACCAGTGGATCCTCTGCAGTGAATGGGTGCCGTCAGAATGAGAGGCTGATTATTGTGATTTTTTTTATTAGCTGTTTGGACTCTCATTCTGACGGCACCCATTCACTGCAGAGGATCCAATAGAGAACAAGATTAATTTCTCAAAATCTGTTCCGATTAAGAAACAAACTCATCTACATCTTGAATGGCCCTACGGTGAGTACAGTTTCAGCAAATTTTCATTCTTGGGTAAACTATTCCTTTAAATCACTTGTATAATCTGAATTTGGAAGTTGAACATTAGTATTTGTGTTGGAACAAGCCAAACCCAGTTTTGGCACTTCTGAAATTGATGTAACACCTCACATGGCTTCAAAAGAAATGTATGCTAGGATCTGTACAATGGTGTTTCTTCAACTATGGGTTCTTTTATTATTTGTAACAATTGTTTTCCTGGTCAACTCCTTTGTCTCGCTGAGGCTAATTTCATAGCTTGCATTTATGTATCCTAAAAACACCCAATTAAATGCACTTTTCTAAGACACAATAAAATATTCTGTTCACAAATTTACATTGCTTCATTTGTCTTCATTTGTTTTCTTCACACGTGACTTCTCAAACTTGATCTCAAGCTCTTCACTGACACTGTTGTCTCCTATACTAACTATACTGAAAAATATTAAAATAACGTTACAGCTGTTGGCCAATCATAATTTTGATTATTTTATATAAATAATTTCACAAATTAAAATGAAATGATGATTATGATTAATTAGGTGTAAATGATATCAGTTTTTTTGTTTGTTTGATTTTTTAGATCAGTTTTAAATGTAAAAAAAAAAGATATTTTTATAACAGATTTTCATAGTAATTTTATATCTGGGTAAAATTATAAAATCTACACAAAAACATTTAGGAAACAAGAAAAAAATTAATAATAAAGACAACGTTTTTTTGGAAAATGTTATGTGACTCGTATATAAAGAAAACAAATCCTCCTAGTTTTAATAAAAATCAAACTGTATGACATAAAAGTGCTCAAAGTGGAAGGAAGAAATTAATAATTTTAATATATTAAATTGGCAATAAAGACATGTATAAAGTTACAAAACGATTTCTATCTATTTTTTTTTTAAATGCTGTTCTTTTCAAGTTTCTATTCATCAAAGAATCCTGTAACAAAAAAAGTAGTATCACAGTTTCCACAAAAATATTACGCGGCACAACTGTTTTCAACATTGATAATAAAAAGACATGTTTCTTGAGCAACAAATCATCCCTCTTCTTGAGCACACATAAGTGCACTCTCACTCTCTCAGGTATCTGACCCTAATCTTCCCTCTCCAACAGCCTCAATCCGAACTTTTATTGTGCTCGGCCTGCCTAGCAGAGCAGACAGGATTCTCTCTGTCTCCTTTATCACTTCTCAGTCCCTGGACAAGAAGAAAAAAAGGCTGCACAGGAAACAGCTGAGCTGCAGTCGACTTCTCTTCACTGCTAAGCTGTTTGGGGGTTTAGAGATAGTGAGGGCCAGGGCACCGTTTCTCTCTCTCAGTGGACAGTTTAAATGTAAAAAAAAAAGATATTTTTATAACAGATTTTCATAGTAATTTTATATCTGGGTAAAATTATAAAATCTACACAAAAACATTTAGGAAACAAGAAAAAAATTAATAATAAAGACAACGTTTTTTTGGAAAATGTTATGTGACTCGTATATAAAGAAAACAAATCCTCCTAGTTTTAATAAAAATCAAACTGTATGACATAAAAGTGCTCAAAGTGGAAGGAAGAAATTAATAATTTTAATATATTAAATTGGCAATAAAGACATGTATAAAGCTACAAAATGATTTCTATCTATTTTTTTTTTTAAATGCTGTTCTTTTCAAGTTTCTATTCATCAAAGAATCCTGTAACAAAAAAAGTAGTATCACAGTTTCCACAAAAATATTACGCGGCACAACTGTTTTCAACATTGATAATAAAAAGACATGTTTCTTGAGCAACAAATCATCCCTCTTCTTGAGCACACATAAGTGCACTCTCACTCTCTCAGGTATCTGACCCTAATCTTCCCTCTCCAACAGCCTCAATCCGAACTTTTATTGTGCTCGGCCTGCCTAGCAGAGCAGACAGGATTCTCTCTGTCTCCTTTATCACTTCTCAGTCCCTGGACAAGAAGAAAAAAAGGCTGCACAGGAAACAGCTGAGCTGCAGTCGACTTCTCTTCACTGCTAAGCTGTTTGGGGGTTTAGAGATAGTGAGGGCCAGGGCACCGTTTCTCTCTCTCAGTGGACAGTGCTGATAGGGTTATGAGAGGGGAAGTGAGTGAAGACACTTCCTGTTGTGAGTCGCAGTCGGACACTGACAGACATGCGGCAGAAGGGATTACCTTCAGCTCGTCCGGATTCAAACATTCAGAGTGTCTCAGGATGGGATATACCCTGCAGCGTTGATGTGTCCTGTCACTCAACACTTCCTCCTCTCACTACTTACTCTAGCTTCCCTGTTCATCTCGTTTCCATTCAGGATGCATCTGTATTCTCTCACCCCGGTGTCCTCAAACTCTTTCTTTATGCCGAAAATGGCACTGAATTATGCAGTGATGACAGGAGGGATGGAGGTAGATGGACTGTCAAGTCTCATTCCCCGCTCACACTGACAGTGGCTTTACTTCTGGTCGCTACTGGGTGTTCCTGAGGCTGGACGTCTCAATGTTGCTGATAGCTTTTAAAAATCTGATCACAAATGAGGTGAACAACTAAAAATCATATGTAATTTAATTCAACAACAAATTAGTTTTCTTGCTTGTTAAAATTAGTATCCTGGAGCGGAAATTAGTTTATGCTTTAAACAAGAAAAAAAAATTTGCTAATGGGGTGAGAAAAAAATGTACGCGTTTTCTTTTTGAATTCAGTTTATTTTGTCTCTGTAGTGCATTTTAAGCATAAATCTCATTAACTTTAGTTAGATTTCTCAAAAAAAAAAAAAAGGATTTATTATCATATGCCATGTTGCTTGTCAAGTTAACAGTGCATGTTTTAAAATGCAAAGAAAATTGTTTTTGCAGTGCACTCAGAAACTTTGAAAATGATTGACCTCTGGTCTCCAACTGCAGAGAGAGAGTGCAACTGCAGATCCCTGTCAGTGTGAACAGGCCTTCAGATGATGGTCAATTCCTCCATTACCGACTGGATTGATTATAACACTTCCCCTGACCTGCACTTTTTTTTTCTATTTTATTTTATATGTTTATATTGATTTATATTTATATTTATTGATTATACCACTTCTGCTGAACCACTCTATATAAAATGATTATTATAATTTAATAAAAGAAATAAAAATAAAGTTAAATAAATAAATGTTAAATAAAATACAAATTGGATTGATTATATTACTTCCACTGACACACTATATAAAATAATATATTCAGTTAAATATAAATAAAATAACACAAAACTGTCTTGTGTGAGGCCTGCCTCTTACATACTTAGAAATAAACAATGGACTACTCAGAACTAAGAAAGAATAAATCTGAGCTCATATGAACTGAGATCACAACAACAGGTCAGCTCAAATCTGACTTCTGCTAAAACTTATGGACTTCAGCACCATGGACAGAGACACACACACAAACTTCAGTACCACGGACAAAAAACAAATGAAAGACACCCCTTGCTAACAACTGCTATGCGTTTTTAAAAAACACACGTGATTCAACAAAAAAGACCAATCAGAAAATATTCTGATATGTTCTACACACAAAATAAGACCATTAATCATTAAAACAGCATCACACCTAACTGATTCACTAATAAGCGTTCTACAGCAATCAAGTGTACTATGGCTCTATAGTAGAGCGTGAGCAAAAAAATAAAGCGTGTGTAGCTTGAGGACAGAATTCCTACCTTGACGTGATTGAATTCGTTCTTACTGGCGTCAGTGCCGACTGGTTTATTTTCAGCACGTGGCTTTAGGACCTGCCGCAGCGGGCTAGAGACGGGCAGACCTGTTACACTGATACCATCTGAAAGCACACAACAATATACATTAGACATACGGCACACATGAACACAGCGGCCAGAGGCCCGAGAAACAGCAAGAGAGGAAAGAGAGATCACTATCTTCTGTGACTTATGTGAGGAGAGGACGCAATTATACAGCTATAATTCCCCACATTCAGAGGACGTGAACATCACTCAAATGCTTTCCTCTCCATCTCTCTCTCCGCCTTTCTATCTCTCAGCGCATCTGTTTGTCCGGCGTTTAGCGCTCAAAATAAAAATTAAAATCCATAACATGACAGTTTGAAATATGATGAGGTGGAAAACTTGTGCGTGTGCCGCAGTGGCTCTCTGGAACACACTCAGGTGGATATATTTTATCTCTCCAGCGCATACGGATAACGGCATTAACTTATAAACGCACACACAAATTCATTCAAGCGAGAAACATTCTGGATTATTTTTAGAAACGGAACATAAATATGATGAATGAGACTTTCATCAACACGGACTTAAATGGTCTGCAAGCCTGCAAAAACATAAAAACACAAAACTAAAGAACACAGATCCTCAAACGCATGACGTCATTTGCAGCAGGGCTGGGTGATATACTCTGAAATATTTAAGATAGATCTGCAAGGATTTTGCTGGTTATATAAAATGAAGCAACATTGTTATAATTTTACCACATTTTATTTTAAGTTTCTAATGGAGCATGTCAGTATAGTTTCCTGAGTATTAATACATAGATGTTTTAAATGTCTAATTTAAGCTTTTGTAGTAAAAATGGTTTTGGAATTGGAAAGTGTAATTCATTTCTATGAGTCAGTTTAAAATGATCAAGTTCAATACATATATTAAAATGTTTGCATCACTCAAAAATGCTGACAAAAGTCCTCACAGTGCAATTCCAATATGAAATCAAATGTTACCCTATGTACCTATTTAATAAACGGTACTCGTTCACATTTTAAAGGCCACTTTTCACAGAGAAGTGTAGTAAAATGTAATTTCTTTGTTATTGGCATTCTGTTTTCTCATGAAGTATGCATACTATACTAAGGTACTGTGGGGAAAAAATGCTAATGCTTTATAAAAAAAATGTTAGGACTGAATACACCACTCTTGCCTTCACCTGCATCTCTCACAGTAAGGGGGCGCTCGTTCAGTTTCAGTTTCAACTCCGTTCAGAATCTTACAGATGTTACTTTCATTTGATTTATTTGCTGTATGGTAAACTATTTTTGCTATGTGGTAATTGTGTTCTTTGTTTCGATAAATTAGTACTAGCATCAGTGAACATCATAATAATGTTAATAATGTAGTTAGTGTAAACAGCCTGCTTACTTTTTTATTTCAGATGTGAGAATAACAGTGTAAAAGAACCTGTTGCAAAGACATTCACGCCTCCTCGCATATACCTTTTCTACACAAAAAGTGTCTTAGAAAATGTAAATCAATATACTGTTTTCTGTAAATGAGTAAGATGATTTTCACATAATTTTGAAGCAAAAAGTCTAGACTTCAAGATCCAGTTCTCAAAAGTCTTGTGAACAAATGTTCTGTATGTGTTTTATGGCCTTATTTCAGTGACTTTAAAATTGTAGTTTTTCACTAAGCACGCATAAACCTTGTTTTCTCAAAAACACAATCACGTACATACATGCTGCACACATATTATTGTAGCCCAGTTTGTGCTGATTACAGTGTTATTAAACTTTAGACATTCAAATGTTTGTAAGCAACTGAAAAAAAGCACAAATGTCAGGGCATGTCAAAACTTTTCCAGGGCCCCAAAACACCCTCGGACCCCAGAGGGTTTGTCCTGTGTCATTTGGAAATATGTCAATTATTGTCAAAACGTTGAAAAATAAATAAATAAATGACCTGCTTTGGCTCTGTCTGAGGAAAATAATGAGTGTAAAATGCAGCGTTTACCATGCACAGATGAATCTCATGCAGATGAATTCTGACATTCAACAGAGGAGGAAGAGCAGTAAAGGAGCCGGTGAAAAGTGCATGTACGAAAACGCGTGTCTGTTAAACAGCATGTGATTTTCAGTCATCTTTCAAACGCTGCCTCTCTGCTGCTCAGTAAAAGAGAGCCGTACACGGCTGCACACATCAGGACAGATCTGGTCAGTATTTGTGTTTTACCACCCGTGGGTTCTGAAAGGGAACGAGAGGGTGTTCAATCACTTGACACACAGAGAACTTACGGTCCTCATTACGAGTCCCACGGCCTCCCAAATGACATCACTTCCCTTCAAGAGTGTCTGACACAATATGTCGTAATGTCTGCTGCTAACTTTACAAGACTCAGACGCCCAGACTCCAGGTCAGAGCAAACAGACTGACATGAGGTAAGAGGAGGCGGAGTTAAGTGTCACACGAGCAGGAGAGGGCGGATCTTATATATAAAATTTTAAAAAGATACCTTTAAACTCATAAATATAAAATGATTATAAAATATATTCGTAATTATATATGTTCCAATAATAATAATAAATAAAATAAAAAAACATTATCATCAAAATAAATATTTTTATATTCCCTAAAAATTTATATTTTTATACTACTACTACTACTAACAGGTCATACATTTTTTTAATAATAATAATAATACATTATTTCATTTTGTTGATTATTAAAATTAATAAATAATTATTTTCATATAGCACCTTTAATGATTTAATAATAATAATAATAAAAAAAAAATTAAATAATGTATTATCATTGAAATGAATAAATACATATTTTTATAACACACCTTTTTATAAAACACCTTAAAATGTAATAATAATAATATTATTATTATTAATAATAATAATATAATAATAATAATAATAATACATTATTATTTTTATACAGTGCCTTTAAAAGTGTACAGGTAGTGTCTAAAATAAAGTAAAGTAAAGTAAAGTAAAGTAAAGTAAAATAAAGTAAAATAAAATAAAATGATCTACCTAATGAACATCCTGAACAGCTTATCTTTAACAGACATCTAAAGTAAAGTAAAGTAAAGTAAAGTAAAGTAAAGTAAAGTAAAGTAAAGTAAAGTAAAGTGTACAGGTAGTGTCTAAAATAAAGTAAAGTAAAGTAAAGTAAAATAAAGTAAAATAAAATAAAATGATCTACCTAATGAACATCCTGAACAGCTTATCTTTAACAGACATAATTTATTCTCCTGCTTAAGTAAAATGCAGCGGATCGAAAAGCGTGGTGCTCAGCGATTACCAGACATTACCCAGTGAGGCTAGCAAGTTCAGCCCTATGTAGCGGCGTGACATCATCCGCACCAGGGCTCTGCGGTCGTCTGACGTCCCGCATGAAGGGTAAACGTTTACCTCCAGTGGGCTCTCAGCGGGGGGAGCCGTCCGATTTAATGGAGCCACTCTCCTCTCTCATTATGTTGTTCTTGCACTGACATTTTAACATTCAGGCACTAATGTGTTTAGTCTGACTGTCTGGCCCTCGCGCTCTGCCTCTTTCTGACGGGGAGACGATTTATAGAGGACGGATGAATGAACGAAACCAGGCGGCATGTTAAAGAAACTCCCGTACAGACTGAACCCAACGGCCTCCTGAGAGACAGACAGAGCACTGCATCACAGTGATGACATCAGCACCATCACAGCCTGAGTTATGCTGACAGCAGAGATGGAGACAGACACAGAGAGAGCGATTGAGACAAAACGGTCGAAGAAAAAGGGTTGAAGGGAACAGAGCGAAAGGAACAGAAAGAAAACGTACAGTGTGTTCAAATGTTCTTAATAAGACAATTTTTTGAATGAATCAGTTTGATTAAACTCACTCTGATCAACTGAATCAGTCTAACAACTCATTGACTTACTGAACTGACTGGTTATTGCTGGTTAACATCAGCTGGTTAACAACACTCATTGAACCATTGGCTTACTCACTGAACCTCTAAAAATCATTACTAAGAAAGTAATGTTGCAGGCATGTGATCAGCTGAGGATCAAAAATAAGGAAAACCTGTTGTTTTTCCCATTTAAAGTAATCAATAATAATAATAATAATAAGTAATTTGTATTAATCTAAATGCTAAAAAAATTAAATCAAATAAAATAATATCACCATAAAATAAATTTATTATTATTATTATATTAAACTAATAGTGATAAATATGTATCTTAATATCTTATTTATCTATATATCTTAATTCCTTTACTTTCTAACATTAAACTATATTAATAACACTGTACTGTAGTGTACTACTACTGTACTGTAAAATATAAAAACAATTTTATAAAATATTTAATAAAGATAATGAATAATATATTCTTCAATATTTAAATTATAAACATTAAATCAAACAAATGTATGACAATTGTAATAATACTACAGTATTACTGTAAAACAGTAAAAACAAGATTTTATAATAATAATAATATTTTTAATAGAACAACAGTCAAATTAAATACCAATAATAATGGTTGTCTTAATTTCTTTGCTTTCAAACGTTAAACTTTTGTAATAATGCTACTGTACTGTAAAAATAAAAAATAGCATTTAATAATAATAATAATAATAGTTATTGTTATTTTAAAGATCAAAAGTAAAATTCCACTTAAAAATTCCACTCTTAATGTGGTTGTCTAAGTGACTTTGCTGACAAGCATTAAACTGTAGGACCTTTATTTTTGGCAGAAAACCACTGGGAGAACTTAAATCTGTTGACAACATATTTATAAGCTATGATTGGTGCATGTTGTATTTTCAAATGCATGTTAGAATAGTTGAAAATGCAGTTATTATATAAATATGTATGAAATTTGTATAAATATGTTGACAACAGTGTGGAAGCTGCTTCATGCAAAACATGCAAAACCAAAGCTGTCTCGCATCCCATTATGACATCACAATGGAGATCAAACTTCAACATTTGAATGGCTTGTTTTGATCTTATTTTCTACAGTTAAAAAACAATCACGATGGGAAAAGCAATAGCAAACAGTGCTAATATTACTGCTAAATAACAGCAATCATGTATTAGCACCTGCGATAACATCAGTACTGTTTACAATTCACTGCCCTCGACATGCTGCGCTATTAAGACCGGCTTTAAGCTGTCTTATCGGCCTAATTAAGAGAAAATTATTATTTCAACAATAATTAAAACATTTTAGCAGCGTCTGAGGAGAGACCCAGGAGAGGAGAGAGAGAGGAAGGAGGCCGTTCAGCTCGCACCTGCTTGTAATTCAAGCAGAAACGCAGTCTGCTACATTCTGCTCTCCTCGAGTCTCATTAATATTTACATGTGTGTACAAAGAGACAGAGAGAACCTGGAGGACATTTCCCATTCTCAGAGGTCGCTCTTTTGGGCTCAAAACAGGTTACAAATACATTTCATTGACTTTATACTTTATATATCACAATTTTCGATTTGAATATTTTAAAATATTCATTGAATATATAATTCTATATATTCAAAATATATTTTAATATTAGATATTTCATAATAACAAATTTTTATATTTATTACTTTTATTTTTATCATTTGATCTTTTTCTTTTTTTAATGTTATTATTATAAACATTTTATTATTTGTAATTACTTTTTAACATTTTGTCATGTATTTCATAATCTTATTTTTTATTTTTATATTAATTTATTAATTTTTACTTTTAAAAACTTTTACTTTTTACTTTTTTATTTTTGTTTATTTATTTATTGATTGGTTGATTTAACACTTTTTCAGCATCATTACTCCAGTCTTCAGTGTCACATGATCCTTCACAAATCATTCTAATATGCTGATTTGCTGCTCAAGAAAATTTCTTATTATCAATGTTGAAAACAGTTGTGCTGCTTCATATTTTTGTGATACATTTTTTTTCAGGATTTTTTGATGAATAGAAAGTTCATGTCATTATACTGTCACTTTCAATCAATTTCATGCATCCCTGATAAACGAACGTATTAACTTCTTTCTATATACCTATATATATACAATATATAGATAGATAGATAGATAGATAGATAGATAGATAGATAGATAGATAGATAGATAGATAGATAGATAGATAGATAGATAGATAGATAGATAGACATATTACAGATACTACCCAAACTTTTGAAGTTCGTACAGTGTACAGTGTACATGTGAATGACATATTGTCTTGTTCAAAAACATATTATATAGTTTCAAGCTAATTTGAACTCCACTTCAATGTTTAGTAGAAACAACTATGATAATGGTGATTTCTCCTTTTCAGTGCACATGAGAGGTAAAACAAGAGGCTAGACAGGAAGAAAGAAGATGTAAGTGTAATATAACCAGGAAACATACAAAAAGAACAAGATGTGACGAGGAAATGGATATGACTCCAGAGAGGAAATAAGAGGGCAGAGCGAACGGAGAGGGGGTAATACTGAAGAGAGGTGGCCGATGTCTCTGTTGAATGTGAAATGAGAGAGTACGGACACCATTTCAAATCACCTCGCTTGGATCAGATCTACCATAACAGGGCAAAGTGAATACTGCCTTTCTATCTATCAGAGAGCAATCAAGCCTGTCTTTATTATAGTGCGACGGCTCCGGTGATGCACTCTCAGAAATTGAGCGTAAATTGGATGGGACAAACCAGAACGGACCCAAATAATGTTGTTTTTGCATGTCAGCGTATGTGTGCTGCTTTCCTGAGGATGTTTACCGTCGTTCAGGTCGTGTAACAGGTTCTCTTGACCGGAGAAGTCCAGTTTGGTGCTTATGTTGACAGGGATGGAGACAGATTGACCGGATTTCAGAGGCAGGTGGGACAAAGCGTCCTGCAGGTCCCAGGTCAAGAACTCACCAAACAGCTTCTCTGTAAGACAGAAAAAGGGAGATATTTGATTACAGCAATGAGCACTTCGGTCAGTGACAAAAAAGGATTTTTAAACTAATTTAAAAAAAAAAACACTACCATTACCATTTTAAAAAATAAGAAAAAAATATATAGGACACAAAAAATAGGATGCACATCACTGATTCATCTTTTTCTTGCATATCCATATGAAGAGTTAATTTGCAAAAACCGATAAACGCCACTTTAAAAAAAAAAGAGCTGATTGCCGTGCATTATTCTCCACATATAGCGCGATCTGTTCCCTAAACACGTTTTGTCAAAAAAGCCGGTTTTATCCACTTTCAAGGCATTGCGAGTTCAGGTTTTACTGCAGAAGCCGACAAGCGCCCTTGTTGTTTTTGAACAGAAGCCGATAAGTCCATTTTAGCGAATCAGCGCGCTGTATTCAGGTCAGGTGACAAGGCTACTTTCACTTTGAAAAGACATGCTAGCTGAGAGGAGTTTCGTCAAAGCTGACTAAAAGTGATCGAGGACGGATAATTTCGACGAACTTGATGAACCTGTGATATATTCTTTAGGGCGAAAAAGGAAAATAAAAGCTGAAACGTTTTCACGGAACCTTGCAAAAGCAGCGCATTACAATGTGAGGGAAAAGCTCTGTGTATCGCATGTAATCACATCCATAGTTTATGATCACAACAACATCGTTTGTCAGGCGTCTACATTATCATCTGAAGAGATTACAAAGATTAAACTAATGTTTTTTTAAACTCTAAAACATGAAACGTGGAGTTATCTGCTTTTGCTAAAAAACTAACTTTTAATATGTAAAAAGAAAAACAATTAACTTTAATTTTGTAAATTACCTGCACTTGCTTAAGTTATTATTACTTAATCAAAACAACCCAACTGCAGTTTGATTGATATTACTTGGAATGCACAATAAAAAAAAAACATGATTTCCGAAAAAAAAATTCTGAGTTATCGGTTTTTGCAAATGAACTCTTCAAATATTTAAAGCTGCACAAAACCAGTAAACCTCTGAATCAAACCACAGCAGCTACTACAAAAATAGCATGTAACCACAACATACGTCAACATATTATCACATATTATTGTATTTTTGTTTAATTCTATTTTTATTTCTCAGAAAAATTTGAAGAATTAATTGATAGAGCCTCTGCAGTACTAACACAGACTCCCTACTGAAGACCCCTGCTGTATAACAATCAATTCAATTTATCTCAAAAATTCTCTTTATTACAGTATGTGAGTCAAGACTTTCTTTGGCTAACTATTCAATCAACTCGAAAACTCGCTGATATTAAATGAGATGCAGATGCAAAATGCAGATTTATAAACCTTTGGTGATGCAAACTTTGGAGAAGAAATCCATCACAGAAATATCGTAAGAATACATAATAACATTAAGAAAACCCAGATCAAAAGCTCTGAGTTCAGATATGTTGTGATCAACATTGACATCTGCACCGAGAGAAACTTCTCCCACTCTCTGCATTTGTGTTATATTTTATATCAAGTGTCTGATGTAATAGAAAATTTGATCTCTAACTATAAATCCAAAATGACGATCATTTAAAAAAATAAAAAATTGCATATTAATATGAAGAGTTAATTTGCAAAAACCGATAAACGCCACTTAAAAAAAAAAGAGCTGATTGCCGTGCATTATTCTCCACATATAGCGCGATCTGTTCCCTAAACACGTTTTGTCAAAAAAGCCGGTTTTATCCACTTTCAAGGCATTGCGAGTTCAGGTTTTACTGCAGAAGCCGACAAGCGCCCTTGTTGTTTTTGAACAGAAGCCGATAAGTCCATTTTAGCGAATCAGCGCGCTGTATTCAGGTCAGGTGACAAGGCTACTTTCACTTTGAAAAGACATGCTAGCTGAGAGGAGTTTCGTCAAAGCTGACTAAAAGTGATCGAGGACGGATAATTTCGACGAACTTGATGAACCTGTGATATATTCTTTAGGGCGAAAAAGGAAAATAAAAGCTGAAACGTTTTCACGGAACCTTGCAAAAGCAGCGCATTACAATGTGAGGGAAAAGCTCTGTGTATCGCATGTAATCACATCCATAGTTTATGATCACAACAACATCGTTTGTCAGGCGTCTACATTATCATCTGAAGAGATTACAAAGATTAAACTAATGTTTTTTTAAACTCTAAAACATGAAACGTGGAGTTATCTGCTTTTGCTAAAAAACTAACTTTTAATATGTAAAAAGAAAAACAATTAACTTTAATTTTGTAAATTACCTGCACTTGCTTAAGTTATTATTACTTAATCAAAACAACCCAACTGCAGTTTGATTGATATTACTTGGAATGCACAATAAAAAAAAAACATGATTTCTGAAAAAAAAATTCTGAGTTATCGGTTTTTGCAAATGAACTCTTCAAATATTTAAAGCTGCACAAAACCAGTAAACCTCTGAATCAAACCACAGCAGCTACTACAAAAATAGCATGTAACCACAACATACGTCAACATATTATCACATATTATTGTATTTTTGTTTAATTCTATTTTTATTTCTCAGAAAAATTTGAAGAATTAATTGATAGAGCCTCTGCAGTACTAACACAGACTCCCTACTGAAGACCCCTGCTGTATAACAATCAATTCAATTTATCTCAAAAATTCTCTTTATTACAGTATGTGAGTCAAGACTTTCTTTGGCTAACTATTCAATCAACTCGAAAACTCGCTGATATTAAATGAGATGCAGATGCAAAATGCAGATTTATAAACCTTTGGTGATGCAAACTTTGGAGAAGAAATCCATCACAGAAATATCGTAAGAATACATAATAACATTAAGAAAACCCAGATCAAAAGCTCTGAGTTCAGATATGTTGTGATCAACATTGACATCTGCACCGAGAGAAACTTCTCCCACTCTCTGCATTTGTGTTATATTTTATATCAAGTGTCTGATGTAATAGAAAATTTGATCTCTAACTATAAATCCAAAATGACGATCATTTAAAAAAAAAAAATTGCATATTAAAATAAAAATGTAATATTAAAATAATAATATTAAAAAAAATAAAAATATTAAAACTAGACAATTTTTTTTTAAATAAAATAAACATGTGAAGTAAGTTGCATAAATCCCCAGCAGGTGTTTGGATGAACCAACAAAGGGGGGAAAAAACTGAAAAAAGAAAAGAAAACAAAAAAAAAAAACCTGGACATATACAGTGGAATACCATGTCAATAAAATTATGAAAAAAAATCTGCGCCAATTAAGTAAAGCAAAAAAGTATGTTTATAATTGGGTGCGTTGATTCAATTAATAGAAGAAAAATACAAAAAGCCAAGGCAAAAAAGGACCCTGTTCTAAGGACCTTGAACTTTGCATTTCGTTTGGTGTGTGGATTTTTTGCCTTGGCTTTATGTCAATAAAATTATACATGACTATAGCAATCATTCAGCACCATGATATATGTCACTGTATCTCCACTGTACTATTTAGTTAGGTGCCGTTTACTTTCTTTCTACGTTTTACCAAAACTACTCTACATTGTTGCCGCCTAATGCCGAGTTCACACTGCACGATTTTAGCCCGATTTTTCACTCGCCGACAGGTTTTGCGATATCTCCGACAAATCGGTGCACGTTCACGCGAGTGACAATCACGCAGTGTGAATTATCAAAGACGCGATCTGAGGGAATCGCCGACACGTCGCCGACGCCCGCAAAATATTTGGCATGCTAAATATCTGGAGCTGTCGGCGATTCACAATCACGCTGTGTGCAATGATTTCTGACTGAAAACTACATCGGCGATGACCTACAGCCAATGAGAGACCAAGATACAGGGCAGAGGAAAGTTCAGGGAGGAGTTATAGACCAGAAAATCTATATTTTACTGAAAACTACATCGGCGATGACCTACAGCCAATGAGAGACCAAGATACAGGGCAGAGGAAAGTTCGGGGAGGAGTTATAGACCAGAATATCAATATTTTTATAGATATATGAACAATTATATCATACAGAAAAAAGCACAAACATTTGCTTGACCAGCCACAACATCAGCATAACAGTTACTGCAAAATTATTTACCTCCAACTCTCTTTGCAGAACACCCAATCCCTGTATCTCCCTCCTGCATAATCTGTTTTTCTTTTTCTCCTTGTAGCTGAAATCAGCTCACAGACAATTTGCAGGCTATATATTTTTTTTTTAATAATTCCAGTCTCACTCGAGAACTCCAGTCTGACGCACGTCTCCTTGTAGCTGAAATCAGCTCACAGACAATTTGCAGGCTATATATATATATTTTTTTTAATAATTCCAGTCTCACTCGAGAACTCAAGTCTGACGCACGCGGGTTCTCGCGTCATTTCCTTATCACTTCTCACGTGTGTTTTGTTGTGAAACGTAGTTTGCGGACCAGACAGAGCTGTCGGCGATTCTTCCTATTGTGAAGTCATGCAATGTGAAACCCCCTGTCACCGATCCACCGTGCAATGTGAACACAGCAGCAATTGAATGCTACCCCAGATAGTCACGCAGTGTGAAAACTAAGGCGATCCGACGAATTTGAAAATCATGCAGTGTGAACTCGGCATAAGGAGAAATGCAATTGAGAGTTTGATCCTGGTGTGTAACGCGAATCTTACAAACTCGCTCTCTCTGTTCATCTTGTCATCTCCCTGTGTGTGTGAAGACACAAGGAGCGCCTGTTCAGAGCTTCATTCAGATGCTAAAAGCTCCCAAACCTCACTGAGGATGAATAATAGACAGAGGCCAAATAACGAAGTCAAATGAGTGCTGCACAACACGTCTGTGAACATTTAAATGAGTGTCTGCCCTACAGACACATGATCCTTATGAATCACAGCTTTGATTTTCATTCCCACATGAAAGACTGAAGAACGCATGAATAAGATGCTGCATTACAATGACAGTCATCAGACATTCACAGGAAAAACACTTCAAATTCAACCCGCTGACTCGTATTAACACCTGCCACCTGTTT